GAGATGCCCTTCAACAGATGAATGGATACAGAAGATGTGGTCCATATATACAATGGAATATTACTCAGCCACCAGAAAGGATGAATACCCAACTTTTACATCAACACGGATGGGACTGGAGGAGATTATGCTAAGTGAAATAAGTCAAGCAGAGAAAGTCAATTATCATATGTTTTCAGTTATTTGTGGAACATAAGGAATAGCATGGAGGACATTAGGAGAAGGAAGGGGAAAATGACGGGGACGGAATCAGAAGGAGAGATGAACCATGAGAGATTATGGACTCTGAGAAACAAATTGAAGGTTTTAGAGGGGAGGGGCGTGGAGGGATGGGTTAGCCCGGTGATGGGTATTAAGAAGGGTATGTACTGCATGGAGCACTGGGTATTATACAAAAACAATGAATCATGAATCACTACATCAAAAACTAATGATGTATTGTATGGTGACTAACATAATAAAATAAAATTTTTTTAAAAAAAGACATGTAAGCCTTAACCTAAAGTCAGTAGAATTTTTTTGTCTTTAGGTCAGGTTGATTAGGGTATAATTTACATGCAATAAAATTCAGCCTTTTTAGTACGGTTTTGTGTTTTGACAAACACATAAAGTTATGTAACCACCACCAATGATCAAGATATAAGTTTCATAATCCCAAAATATTCCCTTATGGCCTGATGTAATCAACCTCTTCCCTCAAACACCAACTCCTGGCAACCACTGATCTGTTTTCTGTCCCTATAGTTTTTCCTTTTCCAGAATATTATATAAATGGGACTATATAGTATGTAGCCTTTCATGTCTGGCTCCTTTCATCCAGAATAATGCATTTAAGATTCAGTCACGTTATGTATATAAATAGTCCATTCCTTTTTATTTCCAATTATTTCTGATATTCCACTGTATGGATGTACCACAGTTTGTTTATTCATTCCCCAGTTGAGGGACACTTGGATTGTTTCTAGTTTTTAGCAATTATGAATAGAACCACTAGAAATATTCACATGAAGGTTTTCAATGTGAACATCTGTTTTTGTTTCTCCTAAGTAAATACCTAAAAGTGGGATTGCTGGTATGGCAACTGCATATTGAATTTCATAAGATATTGACAAACTGTTTCCAAAGTAGGCAGGCCATTTTTCATTCAGACAGCAATGTATGAGAGTTTTAGTTGTTGCACATCCTTGCCAGTACTTGATATTGCCACTTTATTTCCTTATGTTAATCATTCTAATAGCTATGTAGTAGTATCTAATAGTGGTTTTAATTTGCCTTTCTGTAATGATTAATGACATGGAGGATGTTTCATGTGCTTATTTGCCATCCGTGTATCTTCTTTGGTGAAGTGTCTGTTAAAATATTTAGCTTACTTCTTAAATGGATTGTTTCTTGTTGAGTTTTTAAGAATCCTTTATATATTCTGGATATAAGTCTTTTGTTAGCTACATACTTTTTTAAAAAGGAGGAAAATTTGCAAATATTTTGTCCCAATCTGTAGCTTCTCTGTTCCTTCTCTTAATACTGTCTTTCATAGAGCAAAAACTTTTCATTTTGATCAAGTCTTATTTATCAGTTTTTCCCTTATGGACCATGCTTTTAGTGTTATAGCTAAGAACTCTTTGCCTAACACAAGGTCACAAAGATTTTTCCCGGATGTTTTCTTCCACAAGTATTGTACTTTAGACTTTACATTCAGCTCCATGGTCTATTTTGAATTAATCTTAATATGATATGAGATATGGGTAGAGGTTTTATTTTGTTTTGTTTTTTACTATGGATGTCTAATTGTTCCATTGAAGTCTCCACTAAAAGGTCTTTATTTATACACAAACAATGAATCATGGAACACTACATAAAAACTAATGATGTACTGTATGGTGACTAACATAATAAAAAAAGTATTCAGGAAAGAAAAAGTAAAATAATAAAATAAAATAAAATAAAATAAATTGACTATGCATGTCAGTCTGTTCCAGACCTATTCTGTTCCACTAATCTTCATGTCTATCCTTTTGCAAAAACCACACTCTCCTGATTACTATAATTTTATAGTAAGTCTAAAATCAGGTAGTGTATGAATTCTCCACTAAATACCTAATGGTATTTGTTTAGCTTCTTTTCAAACTGTTGGATATGCAACTTTCTTTGATTTTCCATATAAATCTTAGAATCAACTTGCCAATTCTACAAAATAAACATCTAGGATTTTGATTGGGATTATGTTGAATATATAGATCAGACTGGGGAGAATTGACATCTTTTTTTTTTATGTTAGTCACCATACAGTACATCATTAGTTCTTGATATAGTGTTCCATGATTCATTGTTCTTAACAATACTGAGTCTTCCAGCCCATGAACACAGTATATCTCTCAATTTATTTACGGCTTTGATTTCTCTAATTGGTGTTTTCATAGCTTTCAGCATACAGAAATCATACACATTTTGTTAAATTTATATCTAAGTATTTCATCGTCTTTGGTGCTATTGTAAATGGTATTTGTTTTCCCCTTTTGTCTTCTTTCTTCTTTTTTTAAATTTTTATTTAAATTCAATTTAGTTAACATGTAGTGTATTATTAGTTTCAGGAGTAGAATTTAGTGATTCATCAGTTGCATATAACACCCAGTGCTCATTACATCAAGTGCCCCTTTTTTTTTTAAGATTTTTATTTATTTATTTGACAGAGAGAGAGACAGCGAGAGAGGGAACACAAGCAGGGGCAGTGGGAGAGGGAGAAGCAGGCTTCCCGCTGAGCAGGGACCCTGATTCAGGGCTCGGTCCCAGGATCATGACCTGAGCCAAAGGCAGACGCTTAACCATCTGAGCCACCCAGGCACCCCATCAAGTGCCCTCCTTAATGCCCATCACCCAGTTATCCCATCCCCCCACCAACCTCTCCTCCAGCAACTCTATTTGTTTCCTAGAGTTAAGGGTCTCTTATGATTTCCCTTGCTCTCTGTTTTCGTCTTATTTTATTTTTCCTTCCCTTCCCCTATGTACATCTTTTTTGTTTCTTAAATTCTATGTGTGAGTGAAATCATATGGTATTTGTCTTTCTCTGACTGACTTACTTTGCTTAGCATAATAACTTCTAGTTCCATCATGTCATTACAAATGGCAAGATTTCATTCTTTTTGATGGCTCAGTAATATTCCACATTGCGTGTGTGTGTGTGTGTGTGTGTGTGTGTGTGTGTGTGTGTGTGTGTTCCACATCTTTATCCATTCATCTGTCACTGGACATCTGGGCTCTTTCCATATTTTGGCTATTGTAGACTTCTTTTATTTAAATTTCCAAATGGTCATTGCTATTATAGAAATACAACTGATTTTTATATATTGAGCTTGTATCTTTTTTTTAATTTTTTTTTTTTGAGCTTGTATCTTGAGAACTACTGAAATAGCTTATTGGTTATAATAGCTTTTTTGTAGATTCTTTGAGATTTTCCATGCAACATGTAATCTGCAAATGAGACAGTTTTATCTCTTCCTTTCCACTCTATGCTTTTCTCCCTATTTTTCTTGACTTACTTCACTGGCTACATCTTCCAGTATGATGTTAAATAAGAGTGGTAAAAGTGAATATTCCTTTTTTTTTCTCATTCTCATTTTTCTATTTAAAATCAATTAATTAACATATAGTGCATTATTAGTTTCAGGGGTAGAGTTTAGTGATTCATCAGTTGCATGTAACACCAGTGCTCATTACATCAAGTGACCTCCTTAATGCCCATCACCCAGTTACCCATCCCCCCACCCATCTCCCCTTCAGCAACGCTGTTTGTTTCCTATACTTAAGAGTCACTTATGGTTTGTCTCCCTCTGATTTCATTTTATTTTATTTTATATTCTTTTTCTTTTCTTTTCTGTTATTTTCTTCTTTTCTTTCTTTCTTTATGAAAGTGAATATTCTTGTTTTATTTCCAATTTTAGGGGGGAAAGTTCTCTTATTTTTTAGTGTGATGTTAACTGGACTTTTTTTAGGTTTTATTTACTTATTTATTTATTTGAGAGAGAGAGTGAGCGAGAGCACAAGTGGGTGGAGGGGGGAGGCAGAGGGAGAAGCAGACTCCCTGCTGATCAGGGAGCCTGACATGGGACTCAATCCCAGGACTCTGAGATCATGACCTGAGCCGAAGGCAGATGCTTAACCAACTGAGCCACCCAGGTGTCCCTAGACCCTTTTTTATTAAAAAAAAAATCCCTCCTTCTCTGCCCCTGTCCCCCAACTCACACTCTTTCTCTAAAAAAAGAAAAGTGAGGACAAAACATTCTCAAAAGCAAAGCTTATTCCTGTGACTTTCCAGCTCAAAGCCCTCTGAAACCTCCTTTACAAAACTCTGATACACATGGCACCTGGTGATGCCCATCCTGGAATCTCAGCCCCCAGGCTGCCTCTGTTTGCACATTTGTACTCCACATGCCCTGTACTTACCTGGCTGCCCTTGATAAGTGCATTGGTCTCCCAGGTACCAGCATTCTCTCTGAATATCACCACCAGGCCAGTGTGCTGATATCGAGGTGCCCCAAGAACCAGGTTTTGTACCCTGCTTCTCAAGATGACTTCAGCAGCATAACCTGAAGATGGTGATCTGAGAAGGTAAGCGCTTTCCTTCACAGACACTGCCCCCTCTGAGAGACCTATCCCTTGAGTAGGGGGCAATGCAATAGCTCCATGCTTAGTAGGTGGGGATAACTGGACCCTGCACAATATTCCCCTTTGTTAACATAATTAAATGGAAATTTTGAAATTTCTGTCTTTAAAGTTATTCCAAGGGCCCATGAAAAATTCAATGAAATATATGTTAATTGAGTTATACCATATCCTGACCCCTTCTTAAAGTTACCCTGCCCTTTCCACTTACCCAAGTAAGCATCGTTCATGTCTGAATCTACCCTGGTTGTGTTGATGAAGGTAAATTTATCCTTTGACACATGAAGAAAGGCTCCACCAGCCCAGTCAAAGCTCCCCACAGCACCTAGCAAGAGACCATTCTGGAAAACAGGGTAGAACAAGATTGAGCAACCTGCAACTTCAGTGCAATCTTTATCAAAATTCCAATAGCATTCTTCACAGAAATATAATAAACAATCCTAAAATTTGTATGGAACCACAAAAAAATCCAAATAGCCAAAGCAATTTGGTGCAGCCACTGTGGAAAACAGAATGCGGTTCCTCAAAAATTTAAAAATAGAATTACCATTATTATCCAACAATCCTACTTCTGAGTATTTATCCAAAGTAAATGAAAACACTAACTCAAAAGATATCTGCACCCCAGGTTCATGAGGCACTATTTACAATAGCCACAACATAAGGGCACCTGGGTGGCTCAGTCAGTTGGGCGTCCAACTCTTGATTTCAGCTCAGGTCATGGTCTTGAGATTGTGGGATTAAGCCCCATGTTTGGCTCCATGCTCAGCATGGAGTTTGCTTGAGATTCTCTCTCTCCCTCTGGCTCTGCCCCTCCCCCATTCACACCCACTTGCTCTCATTCTCTCTTTCAAAATAAAACCATGAAAAAAAAATAATTTAAAAAAACAATATCCAAGATATGGAAATAATCTAAGTGGAAACATCAATGCATGAATAAAGAAAATGTGATATATAACACAATGGACTATTATTTGGCCATAAAAAAGAAGGAAATCCTGCCATTTGTGACAACATGTATGGACCGACCTTGAAGGCATTATGCTAAGTGAAATAAGTCAGAGAAAGACAAATAGGGTATGATCTCATTTATATGTGGAATTTAAAAACAAAACAAAACTGAATTATATAGATGCAGAGAACAGATTGGTGGTTGCAAAAGACAATGAACGGGTTGGGAGGGTAGGCAAAATGGGTGATGGTAGTCAACAGGTACAAATTTCCAGTTATTAAATAAATACATGCAGGGATGTAATATAAAGCATAGTGAGTATAGTTAATAAAATTATAATGTATATTTGAAAGTTGCTAAGAAAATAAATCTTATTACCAAGAAGCAGTCCCAAATGGAGGCCATAAAAATGAGAATGAATGAGGCAGAAGAGCAACTCAGTGATATAAAAGATAAAATGATGGAAAATAAGGAAACTGAAAAGAACATAGAAAGAGGGCACCTGGGTGTCTCATTCGGTTAAGCATCTGCCTTCAGTTCAGATCATGATCCCAGGGTCCTGGGATCGAGTCCCGCATTGGGCTCCCTGCTCAGTGGAGAGCCTGCTCTCCCTCTGCCTGCTGCCCCTCCCCCCTCTTGTACTCTCTCTCTCTCTCTCTCTCTCTCTGTCAAATAAATAAATAAAATCTTTAAAGAGAGAGAGAGAACTACTGAATAACAAAGGGGCACTTAGAGAACTCAGCAGTTCCATAAAGTGAAGTAATAGCTGGATAATAGGGGTCCCAGAAAATGAGGAGCAGGAGAGAGGGGCAGAAGGTTTATTTGAACAAATTACAGCTGATAACTCCCCTAATCTGGAGAAGGAAACAGGCATTCAAGTCCAGGAGGCACAGAGAACCCCCTTAAAATCAATAAAAATAGGTCAACACCTCGGCATATAATAATGAATCTTGTGAATTTCAGAGATAGACAGAAAATCCTGAAAGCAGCTTGAAACAAGAGGTCCCTAAACTCCAAGGGTAGAAACATCAGGCTGTCAGCAGATGTGTCCACAGAGACCTGGCAGGCCAAAAAGGACTGGCATGACATATTCAATGTGTTAAATGGGAAAAATATGTAGCCAAGAATACTTTATCCAGCAAGGCTGTCATTCAGAATGGAAGGAGAAATAAAGAGTTTCAGAACAAACAAAAACTAAAGGAATTTGTGAACACTAAACCAACCCTGCAAGAAATATTAAAGGGGATCCTCTGAGTGAAGAGAGAGCCCAATAGTAACAAAGACCAGAAAGGAACAGAGACAATCTACAGAAACAGCAACTTTACAGGTAATACAACAGCACTAAATGCATAATTAATCTGAATGTAAATTGACTAAATGCTCCACTCAAAAGACACAGGGTATCAGACTGGATTAAAGAAAACAAGACCCATCGATATGCTGCTTACAAAAGACTCATTTTAAACCCAAAGACACCTCCAGATTGAAAGTAAGGGGTGGAGAAGCATCTATCATCCAAATGGACATCAAAAGAATACTGGGGTAGCAATCCTTATATCAGACAAACTAGGTTTTAAACCAAAGACTGTAATAAGAGATGAAGGACACTGTTCCATAATAAAAGGGTCTATACAACAGGAAGAGCTAACAGCTGTAAATATTTATGCTCTGAACTTGGGATCAGCCAACTATATACACCAATTAGTAACAAAATTAAAGAAACACATTGATAATAATACAGTAATAGTAGCGGATGTTAACATCCCACTGACAGCAATGGACAGATCATCTAAGCAGAAGATCAACAAGGAAACAAGGGCTTTGAATGACACACTGGACCAGATGGACTCCACAGATATATTCAGAGCATTTCATCCTAAAGCAGCAGAATACACATTCTTCTTGAGTGCACATGAAACATTCTTCAGAATAGATCACATCCTGGGTCACAAATCCGGTCTCAACTGGTACAAAAAGACTGGGATTATAGCATGTATATTTTCAGAGCACAGTGCTTTAAAACTCGAAGTCAAGCACAAGAAAATCTTGGGAAGGAACACAAATATGTGGAGGTTAAAAAACCATCCTACTAAAGAATGAATGGATCAACAAGGAAATTAAAGAAGAATTTTGAAAAAATACATGGAACCAAATGAAAATGAAAACATGACAGTTCAGAAGTCTTGGGATGCAATATCTATCAATAGAGACCTTCCTCATGAAACAAGAAAAGTCTCAAATACACAGGCTAACATTACACCTAAAGGAGCTGGAAAAAGAACAGCAAATAAAGCCTAAATCCAGCAGGAGAAGAGAAATAATAAAGATTAGAGCAAAAATCAATGATATAATTTAAAAAAAAAAAGCAGCAGAACCAATCCACTAGGAGCTGGTTCTTTGAAAGAATTAAGATCGATAAACCCCTAGCCAACTTATCAAAAAGAAAAGAGAAAGGACCCAAATAAATAAAATCATTAATGAAAGAGAAAAGATCACAACCAACACCGAAGAAACCCAGTTATAAGAATATATTATGAGCAACTATTGCCAACAAATTAGGCAATTTGGAAGAAATGGATGCATTCCTAGAAACATAAACTACCAAACTGAAACAGGAAGAAATGGAAAATGTGAAGAGACCCATAATCAGCAAGGAAGTTGAAGCAGTAATCAAAAATCTCCCAACAAACTAGAGTCCAGGGCCAGATGGCTTCCCAGGGGAATTCTACCAAATATTTAAAGAAGAATTAATACCTTTTCTTCTGAAGCTCTTTCATAAAATAGAAAAGGAAGGAAAACTTCAAACCCATTTTATGAGGCCAGCATTACCTTCATCCCAAAACCAGACAAAGACCCCACCAAAAAGGATAATTACAGACCAAAATCCCTGATGAACATGGATGCAAAAATTCTCACCAAGATACTAGCTAATAGGATCCAACAGTACATTAAAAGGATTATTCACAGGGTGCCTGGGTGGCTCAATTTGTTAAGCGGCTGCCTTCGGCTCAGGTCATGATCCCAGGGTCCTGGGATTGAGTCCTGCATCAGGCTCCCTGCTCCCCAGGAAGCCTGCTTCTCCCTCTCCCTCTCCCCCTACTTGTGTTCCCTCTCTCATTGTCTCTCTCTCTGTCAAATGAATAAATAAAATCTTTTTTAAAAAATAAAATAAAAGGATTATTCACTACGACCAAGTGGGATTTATTCCTGAGCTGCAAGGGTGGTTCAACATCCACAAATCAATCAATGTGATACACCACAATAATAAAAAGAAAGGACAAGAACCATAAGATCCTCTCAACGGATGCAGAAAAAGCATTTGGCAAAATACAGCATTCTTTCTTGATTAAAACTCTCCACCCTTTAGGGATAAAGAGAACATACCTCAACATCATAAAAGCCATATGTGAAAGATCCACAGTGAATAGCATCCTCAACAAGGAAAAACTGAGAGCTTTTTCTCTAAGGTCAGGAACATGACAGGGATGCCCACTCTCACCACTGTTGTTCAACATAGTACTGGAAGACCTAGTCTCAGTGATCAGATAACAAAAAGAAATAAAAGGCATCCGAATTAGCAAAGAAGAAGTCAAACTCTCACTCCTCACAGACAACATGATATTCTATGCAGAAAATCCAAAAGATTCCACCAAAAAGTGCTAGAACTGATATAGGAATTCAGCAAAGTTGCAGGATATAAAATCAATGCACAGCAGTCATTTGCATTTCTATACACTAACAATGAGGCAGAAGAAAGAGAAATCAAGGAATCAGTCCCATTTACAATTGCACCAAAAACCATAAGATACCTCAGAATAAACCTAACCAAAGAGGTAAAGGATCTGTACTTTGGAAAAACTATAGAACATTTATGAAAGAAATTGAAGAAGGCACAAAGAAGTGGAAAAACATTCCATGCTCATGGATCGGAAAAACAAATATTGTTAAAATGTCTATGCTACCTAGAGCAATCTACACATTTAATGCAATCACTATCAAAATACCATCAACTTTTTTCACAGAGCTGGAACAAATGACTCAAAAATTTGTATGGAACCAGAAAAGACCCTGAATAGCCAAAGAAATATTGAAAAAGAAAACCAAAGCTGGAGGCATCACAATCCAGACTTCAAGGTATATTACAAAGCTGTAATCATCAAGACAGTATGGTACTGGCACAAAAACAGACACACAGATCAATGGAACAGAATAGAGAACCCGGAAATGGACCCTCAAGGTCAATTAACCTTTGACAAAGCAGGAAATAATATCCAATGGAAAGAGACAGTGTCTTCTACAAATGGTATTGGGAAAACTGGACAGTAACATGCAGAAGAATGAAACTGAACCACTTTCTTATACCATACACAAAAATAAATTCAAAATGGATGAAAGGCCTAAATGTGAAACAGGAATCCATCAAAATCCTAGAGAAGAATACAAGCAGCAACCTCTTTGACCTCAGCCACAGCAACTTCCTATTAGACATGTCTCCAAAGGCAAGAGAAACAAAAGCAAAGATGAACTCTTGGGACCTCATCTAAATGAAAAGCTTTTGGACAGCAAAGGAAACAATCAACAAAACTAAAAGGTAACCTATGGAATGGGAGAAGATATTTGCAAATATCTTATCAAATAAAGGGGTAGTATCCAAGATCTATAAAGAACTTATCAAACTCAACACCCAAAAAACAAAAAATCCAATCAAGAAATGGGCAGAAGGCATGAATAGACACTTTTCCAAAGAAGACATCCAGATGGCTAACAGAATGTGAAAAAATGCTCAACATCACTGGGCATCAGGGAAATACAAATCAAAACCACAATGAGATACCACCTCACACCAGTCAGAATGGCTGAAATGAACAACTCAGGAAACAACAAATGTTGGCAAGGATGTGGAGAAAGGGAAACCCTCTTACACTGTGGGTGGGAATGCAAACTGGTGCAGCCACTCTGGAAAACAATATGGAGATTCCTCAAAAAGTGAAAAATAAAGCTACCCTATAACCCAGCAACTGCACTACTTGGTATTTACCCAAAGGATACAAACATCATGATTCGAAGGGGCACATGCACCCCAATGTTTATAGCAGCAATGTCCACAACAGCCAAAATATGGAAAGAGCCCAGATGTCCAACCACAGATGAACGGATAAAGAAGATGTGGTATACATATACAATGGAATATTACTCAGCCATAAAAAAGAATGAAATCTTACCATTTGCAATGATGCAGATGGAACTAGAGGGTATTATGCTAAGCGAAATAAGTCAGAGAAAGACAAATACCATATGATTTCACTCACGTGTGGAATTTAAGAAATAAAACAGATGCACATAGGGGAAGGGAAGGAAGGAAGGAAAAATAAAATAAGATGAAAATAGAGAGGGAGACAAAGCATAAGAGATACTGAACTTAAGGAAACAAACTGAGGATTGCTGGAGGGCAGGTGGGGGGGAAGGGGTAATTGAGTGATGGTCATTAGGAGGGCACTTGATGTAATGAGCACTGGGTGTTATATGCAACTGATGAATCACTAAATTCTTCCTCTGAAACTAATAATACAGGAGATGTTAACTAAATTGAATTTAAATAAGGAAATTTTTTAATTTTTTAATTTAAAAAAAGAAAATAAATCTTAAAGTTTTCATCACAAGAAAAAAAATTTTGTAACATATGTAGTGATGAATATTAATTAGACTTATTGTAGTGATCATTTCACAATATATGCATATATCAAATCATTATGTTGTATACCTGTATGATATCATATCATATACCTATATCCATATCATATATCCTCAACAATAACAAAAAAACAGGATTGATAAGGAAAAGAAAAGGGACCACTGCTCCCCATCAAAGAAGTGCCTCCCAACAAGTACTCATTGCAGATAAAAGCCCCCAAACCCTTGCATGTCTTCCCCTTCCTCTTTCCCAATCCCAATTTAATGAAGGACCACTTACAGCGGTGATGGCAGCACTGAAGCCTTCCTGAGACATCTCATGTTCAAAGGAGCTGGTACTTCCTGTCTGAGTACCTGTGAGGAGGAGAGTTTTCTACATTAAAGAAAGCAGAAGAGTTGGAACTCAAATGCTATGGTGACCAGACAAAAGGAGGTTCAGATGGCAGCTATCTGAATTAGAAAGTATATACCCCTTTTAAAGAGATGGTGGCTATTTGGCTCCAACTGGTTTTTGCCACATGGGAATACAGTCTAATCTTCCAACTTTTTAAGACAAACCATAAATCCAGATCATATATGATGCTTCCCCCAGTGTTTTAAATTCTTTTAATCAGTAAACATTTATTGAGCACCCTCTATGTACCAGGCACTATTCTAGACACTGGAGATACAGCAGTGAATCAAACAGACAAATGTTGGCAACATATCCAAATTCTTGGAGAAATACTGTCTGAGGTTTGGCTCTCCTACCCTCCAATTTTCCAGCCTACAGCCAAGGCTTGCAAAGTAAAGATAAAGTCTAGATCCTTTGATTTTAAAGGAAATGACCAAGTGAGGCCAGAGCTGCTGGGAACTAGAGGAAGTAGAGAGAGAGTTGAATTAATCCTGAGAGTCAGGATACCAAGGGTTAGAAGGTTCTAGTTTCTAGAGGGGAAATGCGTGTTGGAGGGTAAGGAGCTGCCTCTGGAGCTGCTGCAGGAGTGCAGAACCTTAGCTTACCCTCAATTGCAAAGATCTTTTCCTGAAGCTGGTTTTGAATGGTCTTCAGAGCTTCAAAGTTATTCACCCGGAACACATGATCACGAGGAGGCTTGGATGCAATGGTATTAAGCTCTTCACGATTTTTTGGACTGTTGAAAGCATCACCCACCTGTTACCAAGGAATAGTGGCCAAATCAGACACCATCTGGGGTTAGCAGTCTCATCCAGCAAAGAAAATTCTGCAGGAAAAGAATCTGAAACAGTATCTGTCAAATGAGGGAATGCACCAGAAGGCCCCTGGGACAGGGCCACCAAGTATAGTAAAACAGGTTGTGCACTGCATGAGGCATTCTGTCAAGGGAGTAATTAGGAGTGAAATCCAGCCTTTGTCCCTTTGCTGTGCCATGCCCAGCACATGTGTGGGGCTGACCTCTCCCCAGAGTAAAGGGAGTCTTTTCCTCTATATGAAGCAGTTTCCTACTTGTCAAGCCATGCACTGATGATGATACCTTTTTCTATGTCATACAAGGTACTGTGGTAGTTTGATTACACTGATGATCCCTTTAGTAAAGATCTAACTCTTTACCCCTTCCTATATCTGAGCCCTTTCCCTGAAAACTTTGCTGTATCCTCTTACTCATAGCAGAGGAATCTGCCCTGCTATGTCTCTGGGTACAGCTATGTGTCTTGATAATATCCATTAGCGTAATATCCATGATGCAGAAAGAGGCTTCAAAAAGTGCTTGCAACATTTCCATTTGCTCTTCTGTTCCTCTGCCTTCACCATGAGGATATGCCCAGGCTGGCCCACGGGACGATAACACAGGGAGCAGAAGAACCAAGTTACCCCACTTGTTCCAGCCATTCCAGTCCAGCAAACAGACATAACTGGCAACCCTCAGAAATGGAGAGAGTTCAGCCAAGATCAGCAGAGCTGTCAACCAACCTTCAAATGAATACAGATGTACAAGTGAGCCAGTCAAAACCAGAAAAATTGCCCCACAGAACTACAGATTCATTTAGTGTTTTAAAGACTGAGTTCTGAGATAATTAGTTACACAGCATCATTGTAACAATAGTTAACTGATACAGGCCCATATGGGCTAACAATGACCCTTGGCCCACCTGGTTTTAGGGATATTTTCAAACTGAAGGAAGGGTGTATCCAAACAGAAAGCCTCCACAGAAGCATCAGGCCAGAGAGCCACATTTCCTACCCCAATGACATAGCGAATGATCCCCTCTCTGTCTGCTTCAGGGATGACATCCTTGTAATCCAAGGGATCACCAAACTTTTCTCCATCTGTGATGACAACTAGGATCTTAAGGGCATTCTCCCGGGCTCCACTACTGCTATGAAACAGTTGTCTTCTGTCCAGGGAAGAGGAAAGAAAAGTCAATGGTGAACAGACAGAGATACTCTTAATGCTGGGGAGGGAATGTCAGCAGTCACACACACAGATGCAGCTAAGAGGAGTTCGGGCTCACCTGGAGTGAACACTGAGACATGGCTGCCCCAAGACCTGGAAAGGCAGCAGGAGAAAGGAAAAGCGTGGAAGGAAAGGAAATCTTCACTGCCTTTATATGCTTTTGCATAGACTGATTTTTTTTTTAGCTATTATTCCTCTTAAATTAAAACAAAATTTAAGCTTAATGCACCCTCACAAACTTTTCCTGGTTTGATGCAACAGCTCTCTAGCTCATCTTCCTGAACTTTTGTCCCAACCTCCACCCTCACCTCTACACACACACACACACACACACACACACACACACACACACACACATCAGAGTGAACTTCCAAAACAAGATATGGTGACATCTCCTCACTGCTTAAAACAGTCAGTGGATGGGCACCTGGGTGGCTCAGTTGGTTAAGCGACTGCCTTTGGCTCAGGTCATGATCCTGGAGTCCCTGGATCGAGTCCCACATCGAGCTCCCTGCTCAGCAGGGAGTCTGCTTCTCCCTCTGACCACCTTCCCTCTCGTGCTATCTCTCATTCTCTCTCTCTCAAATAAAAAATTAAATCTTAAAAAAAAAAAATATTCAGTGGATCTCCACTCGCTTTTCAGTTGCCTTAAGTGACCTGGCCTCAAATGATCTCTGTAGCTTCCCTCTAACCTTACCCTCACATCTCCCCTTCACGCCTACCTTTACTCACAACTTGTATTTCATGTGTGTACCATGAAGAGTCTCTCCTCCACCTTTACTCATGTCCTTCACCCCAACCCTGTCTGAACAACCCCCTTCACTCTTCGAATCCCAGCAAAAAAAATATCACCTCCTCCTTCCATCCTAAGCAGAGAGCTTACACTACTTTGCGGATTCCTGTGGCAGTGTGTGTCTTCCCGTACAGCTGTTGTATTGATTTCACCAGAAATTCTGGGTTAGGGTTTTTCTTGAACTGATTGAAGGTGAAATGAGTCTGGAATTCTTCAGAGAACTGCATCAAAGAAAACTGGGAACAGGCATCTGGCATTACACTGGAGAAAGTGACTCTCCTCATACTTACCCATCTCCCAGGAAGCCCTACATAAATCTTGAAACATTCCAGTCTCCAAATCCCTCCAAATTCTACACTGTCCCCAATCCTTCTGCCTCACCAGGACAGAGATCTGCCATCAGCTCCCACTTCTAAGTATTAGAACTCAGCCCAAGATGATATATTTTATCTCCCATACCAACCCTTATCAATTAGTCAGAGCTGCCTGCTTTACAGAGGGCTGGAAGAAGCTGAGGCTGCATCCAGACAGAGCAGGAAAGAGAATCATGAAAGAAAACCATGATCAATTGGCAATTTGGCAATGCCTGCAATAGAAGTAAAAGGGGAAAGTGGCGGCCTGGTTGCCATGTATTTGCCAGCATCATATGAGCTATTTCCTAACCTACCCATATGCCCTCACCAAGGTTTTGGACTTCTTGAATCGATTCATGACAGTTGAGACAAAGTTCTTCATCCGCTGAAAGTCACTCGGGATGATGCTACCAGAGCCATCAATCAAGAAGACAATATCACTGTCCTGCCGAGGGCACTCTTGGGGAACAAGAGAAAGAGCATGAACTTAATTATAAGTACTTGAGACTGGGGTTCATTTTTTGCATGTCAGCTTTCTGTTAAGCAGTGAAAATAAAAGGTAAACAATATGCAACCCATGTTCCAAGCTTAATAAAAACATGGACACAATCCCAAGATCACAGCCACCAAGAAGAAGGCATCTGCCAGAAAATATCGATGTTACTTTTGAAGATCAACAAAAGATAAACAAATTTTCATGGAATACAAGGAGAATCCCATAACTGAAGGAAGAAATAGAAGCGAAAAAGAGACAACTACAAAATTCAGAAGATGCTTGTAAGGACATCATGCTTGCAGATAGATGACTACTGCTTAACGATACCTTATCAAATTGGTGATGTTTTCATTAGCCATTCACAAGAATAAGCACAAGAATTGCTAGGAGAAGCAAAGAAAAATTTGCAGGAAGAAACTGAAGCCTTTGAATCTAGAGTGGAATCAATTCAGCAGGTGTTAGCATATTTAAAAGTTCAATTATATGCTAAATTTGAGAGCAAAATAAATCTTGAGGCTGATGAAAGTTAAACATTTTATAACACTTTTTAAAATTTGTTTAATAAACTTGAATGTTGTTTCATACAATTTGAAATATGGATGAAGTATAGAAAATTTTGGTTAATTCTGCCCAAGGAAGTCAGGAAAAGTAGTGATATGAGAGCTAACTCTGAGAATGAGAAATAATTTGCCAGAAATACAAAGAGAGAAATATATTATAGTAAAAAAAAAAAAAAAAAAGGAACAGCACACATAACAATAGGCTGGATGTCCTCCTCCCTTCTGACCCCAGCCCCAAATCCACTTTCTACTCTCTTCCAATCTGCTCTGCACCCCAGGAAGTCAGCCACATGGACCACATGCATTTTGGGTTCCTTTGCCCTCTGATTTCTATTTGGATTTGCCCAATTAGGAGCCTCAACAGAAGACTGGAGTGATGGAAGAGTGAGATCAGAGTATTCTCCCTGTACTCCCTCCCTGGAAGGTTGCTTTGGGCTGGCTGGGACCCTCAGTGCAAGATCACTGCTCCTTCAAGGAGGCACACTCCTGACAACCCTCTCCTCTTCTGAATTCTGGTTACTTCTCCCTCTCCTTGTCCAATCAGCCTAGGAGTGGAAACAGCTCTGCTGCTGCTTGCCCTGGGTTCCTGGATCATCTATTATAGTTTCCTAAGACTCTATCAAACCTTTAAAATTAGTCCCTTTGTAAATAAACCCTTCTCAAATTATTCTAACTGGAGTGTACCGTCTATTCCAGTCAAAACCCTGACTGATACAAAGGAAATGAACCTAAAATAATTCTGCAGAATTGAGGAATTGAAATGGCACTACTAAGATAAATCTGTGTGATAAGAATGGAGATGAGCCTATGTCATTAAGCACAGGAAAGTTGGGAAGGGCCTCTCTACCCAAAAAAAGAAGTTTGACTTTATACCTTAAGCAGTGGAAAGCCACTGAAGTTTTCTTAGAAAAGGGGGTGAGGTGATCTTTTTTGTATTTAGAAAGATTACTGTAGCAATGAAAAGTTTCTAGCCACTCTATTCATGATTGCCAAACATTGGAAACAATCCAAACATCTTTCAATGTGTGAACAGATGAACTTGTGACTGGGATTGTGGTAAATCTATGCGATGGAATACTATTTGGCAATAAAAAGGGAAAGAACTACTGATACACACAACAACATGGATGAATTGCAAATACATTATGCTAGTGAAAGAAGCCACTCTCAAAAGGTTATAATTCTATTTATGTAGCTTTCTTGAAAAGACAAACTATATTGTGATGGAGAACAGATTAGTGAGTGCCAAGGGCTAGGATGGAGGGGGAGAAGGCAACTAACTATAAAGAGATAGCACCAGGGGCCCCTGGGTGGCTCAGTCAGTTAAGTGTCTGCCTTCAGCTTGGGTCATGATCCCAGGGTCCTGGGATCGAGCCCCGTGTCAGGTTCCCTGCTCAGCAGGGAGTCTGCTTCTCCCTCGCCTTCTGCCTGCCATTCCCCCTGCTTGGGCTCTCTCTCTGTGTGTCAAATAAATAAATAAAATCTTTTTTTTAAAAAAGAGAGATAGCATGAAGGATTTTTTTAGGGGAGTGACAGAACTCTTGTATTCTGTTCATGTTGTTTTTTTTTTTTTTTAAGATTTTATTTTTAGGGATGCCTGGGTGGCTCAGTCAGTTAAGTCTGCCTTTGGCTTGGGTCATGATCCCAGGGGCCTGGGATGGAGTCCTGCATTGGGCTCCTTGGTCAGTGGGGAGCCTGCTTCTCCCTTTGCCTGCTGCTCCCCCTGCTTGTGCTCTCTCTCTCTGACAAATAAAGAAAATCTTTTTTAAAATATTTTATTTTTAAATAATCTCTACAACAAGCATGGGGCTGGAACTCACAACCCAGAGATCAAGGGTCACATGCTCTACCAACTGAGTCAGCCAGGCACCCCATGTTCATGTTGTTTTTTTTTTTTGTGAAAATCTATACATACCTTAAAATTCAGGGAACTGTACACTAAAAGAAGAAAGGCCAATTTTACTGTGTGATCTTTGAAAAAATAAAATTATCCCAAAAAAAGTATTGGCTTTTTAAAAATAGATAAACAGATTCTAACACTTATATGGAAAATATACAAAGAAAATTAACCAGAAAAATTTTTGAAAATCTCAAAGATATGTTAAATGAAAAGAATCAAGTGTGTTACAACAGGCTACCATTTGTGGTACAAAGTGAAGACTATAGATATGTATATGTTTGTGAATATAGAGTATCTTCAGAAGACACAAGAAACTGGTAACAGTGGTTGAATCCCAGGAAGAAAACAGTAGGCTGCGGGAACCAAGAGAGAGAAGTATTATGTGCTTTGAATTTTGAATCATTTTTAAAGAACTGAAAATGTTTTTTAGAACAAAAAGTATGGAATCCTGAGAGTGAGGACTGAAGACAGAAATGTGAGGGTAAGAGCTGAAGCCACAGAACTGAATATAATTGGGCAGGAAGAACACATGGACAAGAATAGAAGCTGTAACCTGGTACCCCTACACATGCAAAGAAGGCAGAGGAAGATGACCTGGAGATGAAGTTTAGCAGAAGCCCTTGGCAGGGGAAGAAGCAAGGGGTGGGAGGAGTGGAGGAGAAGGGAGGAGAGGGGAGAAATCTGGAGCCAAGGTGTCTGGGGAAGGAAGAGATGATCTGTAGGTCACATCAGCAAAGTCAGTAAACATGAGGACAAAATAGAGATTTGGCATTTAGGGAGTCACAAATGTCATTTGCAAGAGGAAGATTTATATGGTGGTTGGACAGAAGCCAGATGTCAGTGAAGAATGGTGATATGGGGGAAATGCAAACAAGAGGAGAGAACTCTTTCAAGAAGTTTGGTGGGGAAAGAAAGGAGAAATGGCAGAACATGTAGAGGAGACCAGGGAGAAGAAAGGTTATTTTCATTGCTATCAATTTTGGTGGTTGGTTGTTTTTAAGATATGGGTAAGTGTGAGCATGTTTACATTCAAAGGAGGGGGAGAAATTTAAGCTCCTGGAGCAAATGAATGATTGAGGATGTGGGCTTTGAGTTGGTGATGTGATAAAGCCTCAAAAGCCGAGATGGGGGCGCCTGGGTGGCTCAGTCATTGGGCATCTGCCTTCGGCTCAGGTCATGATCCCAGGGTCCTGGGATCGAGCCCCACATCGGGCTCCCTGCTCCACAGGAAGCCTGCTTCTCCCTCTCCCGCTCCCCCTGCTTGTGTTCCTTCTCTCACTGTCTCTCTCTCTCTGTCAAATAAATAAATAAAATCTTAAAAAAAAAAAAAAAGCCCAGATAGAAAAGTGATTCATGGAAAGGCAGACAGTCAGGTATCCCTCTAAAACCCTGCCAAGGGTGGTACCATTGCAAAAATTTGAACAAGGAGAAGGGGTAAGCAGAGGGAGTTCATCCCTGGCAACCTTGATTTTCTTTGTGAAGAAGGAAGGAAGGTTATCTGTTGAGAGTAAAGTACAAAGGAGCAGAGCTTGAGGGGAAAAAAAAAACTATAAAAGGAAGACATATCTGCCCTTGGTAACAGAACCAACTTGAAGACAAGCAAAAGGATGGCCAAGCAGTTGAAGAAATAAGTGGCAGAAAGCAGCTTGAAAAAAAGATTCAGTCACTCACTCTCTTTCAGTCAAAAAATATTTGGAGAACAAGGATGTGATAGGCAGCCACCAAGGTGGAGCATAAGGTTCTCACCTCCTGGAAATAACATCCTCACATAGTCACCTTCTCTTGAGTGAGAGATGGACTTTTTGTCTCACTTCAAAGGAACATAAGATGGCAGAAGTAATGTACTATTACTTTTGAGATTAGATTATGAAAAGACTGATTTCTTTCTTGGGGTTTTCTCTCTCTCTCTTGCTCTCCTACTCCCTTGTTTACTCACTCTGAGGGAAGTCAGCTGCTCTAGGAGGAGCAGTTGTAAGCTGCTTTATAGGGAGCCTCATGGGACAAGCAACTGAGAGAAGCCTCCAGCCAACAGTCAGTGAAAATTGAGGTCCTCAGTCCAACAATCTTGTAAATGAGCTTGGAAGTGGATATTCTTCCCACAGTCAAGCCTTTAGATGGGAGCACAGCTCCAGTTTAACAAATTAACTTCAATTTCATGAAAAACACTGAGGCAGAGGCACCCAGCTAAGCCATGCCCAAATTCCTGATTCATAGGAACTGTAATATAATTAACATTTACTGTTTTTAGCTGATAAGTTTAGGGCAATTTGTTAAGCAGCAATAGATAAAAGAGCATAGAGCAATGAACAAGGTAGGCAGTATCCCTGCTATCATGAAGCCTACATTCTAGAAGAAAACATGGAAAAGAAACAAGTAAAATATGTATATACAGATATGAAGATGGTAAAGTGTGACAATGTGGTAGGAAGTAACGGTGGAAATGATAAGAGCCACTCAGGAAACGCCTCTTTGAAGAGGTGACATTTGAGCTGACAATAATGGGTTGTTAGCTAATAGTAAGCATAAAGACCCTGAAGCAGGGACAGCTTGGTGTCATTCTTGGAGAAAAAAGGCAGCCAGAGTGCCTGGAGCACAGTGGCTGAAGTAGAAAGGTTGGGAAAGCCTCAAAGGCTATGATCAGGAGACTCAGGCACTTACTCTAAGGATGATGGGGGGGGATATCATCTCACAAAGATGAGTGGCTATATCAGGATTTTTCTTAAAGTTCAAGACCCCCACATCTCCCCCCACCATCTCTATTGGAGCCCAGTCCCCTCCGGCTTCTGCACCGAGACCTCTAAGTCAACTCTCAGGCTCTAAACAGCCCCCATCCCGGTCCTGCCCTTACCCTCACACTGCCCATCTCTGCCAAAAGCCACCTACCTCTGAGCTTCTCTGGGAAAGTCTGGGGCTGCTGCCATAGGTTGGGTCCAAACAGGAAGCATAAGCCGTTCACGTAGGTGTTCTCCTTACAAGTTTGGTGCACAGTGGGGCCACAGGCCTGGGGAAGGTTGCAGGTGGGAGAGGTTGTTCCTGCTTCTTGTCCTTTCACCCCAGCACCTCTACCCTCCACAGACCGCAGCCCCAGCAGCCATGGGCCCCTGACTCCTTCCCTCAGGACACTCCCATGACCAGGGACAACTCACCAGCAGTCGGAAAGGGCTGGTGGCAAATGCCAGAGACAGGCCCAGAGACATGTTCACCGCCTCCAGGGGGACTGAGGAGACATATATACATGGTCACTTTCGTGGAGTAAAAGGGGTTCTGTGAAGGTGAACAGAGGTCACTTTGACCTGGGACACATGGAGACCTGACAGGTCAAGGAGGAACCCAAGTCCTAGGAAAGGAACATGAAGAGGGTACCTGAGGATGTCTGAGGTAGAGTCTGTATACAGCTGGCGAGCTGAATACCTGGGCCCCCAACCACACACCCCCAAAGCAAAAGGAATGCCTGGCAAGTTCAGGTGTATGTATAGGTGGAAACCTAGCCCTGGGTCCCAGGGAGGGGCAGTGACTCACCCTGCAGGTGCATGGACTCACACTTGCCCGTGCTGTAGTCACATTGGTAGAGGCCACCTGTTTGGTTGGCAGCCCTTATCTCCTGGGGGGCTCCAACCACAAACCTGGGGGGGCGGGTAAGGTAGGAACAAATCACCTCAGGGACAAGAGAAAACTCTGACATGTGGGGAAAGAAGGAGACCATGGAAGTTCGGCCACCCAGAGGAAAGTGAGGAGAGCCAACCCTCACATGTATTTCCCAATTCCCAGGAAGAGAAGGAAGACTCAGCAAAGAAAAAAGTGGGAAAATTTTAAATCTTGGAAGGGGAAAGTCTCTCTAAGAATGACACAAAACCAAGAAGTCATTTAAAAGTTGTTGAATCCTATGTTATATACCTGAAACTAATATAACACTGTATGTTAACTATACTAGAATTAAATTTTTAAAAAATGGATAAATTCAACCACAGACCACAGTCATTTTAAATAAATTTCTGTATATGATATCAGGGAAATGCAAATCAAAACCCAATGGGGGGGGCAAGGAGCAAGATGGCGGAGGAGTAGGAGACCTGGATTTCATCTGGTCCCAGGAATCCAGCTGGATAGGGATCAAACCATTCTGAGTACCTAAAAAATCAACAGGAGATCAAAGAAAAGAATAGCAACAACTCTCTGAACAGAAAAATGACCATTTTCTGGAGGTAGGATGTGCGGAGAAGTGAATCCGAGGTGATATTCGGGAGGATAGATGACGGGGGAGGGGGCTTCCTCAGCCACTTCTGGCAAGTGCTAGAGCCACGGAGCACAAAATCAGAACTTTTAGAAGTCGGGTCCGCTGAGGGACGTCGCTCCAGTGGCTAAGCGGGGGGTGGAACCCTCACGGGACAGTGTGGTCTCAGGACCCTCGGGGTCACAGAAAGACCGGGAGTGCCTGAGTGCAGCAGAGCTCCCAGGTATCAGAGTAGGGAAGCCGGCTGTAGAGACAGAGCCAAGGCACAGGTTCTCTGCTCAGGGTTGCCATAAACCGTGATCCGCGGCACAGTCGGGCCACTGCTCCTCCAGCAGGGACCCAGCAAGCAGCAGATCTGGGGAGACTCCCCTTCCTCCCCCGGGAGGAGCGGCGCGGGAGCGCACTGCAAGGATCTCCTGGGTTTGGAGACTCCACACGGTGTCGGGTGCCAGAGATACAAACGCTCGGTCACAGGCCGGGTGAGCACGGAGTGCGGCCGGAGATGGGGGAGATGGGAGTGATTGACTGCTTTTCTCTGGGGGCTCACTGAGAAGGGGCGCCCTGAGTTCTCGGCTCCTCTGGAGTGGAGATTGGGAGACCGCCATTTTCACTGTCGTCCTCCAAAGCTGTACGGAAAGCTTGCAGAGAACAAAAGCTCCCAAGAGCAAACCCGAGCAGATTACTTAGCCCGGACAGGCAAGGGCAGGGCAATTCCGCCTCTGCAAAGACATTTGGGAACCATGGCAACAGGACCCTCCTCCAGAAGATCAGCAAGAAGAGCCAGCCAAGACCAAGTTTACCAATCAATGAGAACAGCAGAACTCCAGAGCTAGGGGAATACTGCATATAGAATCCATGGCTTTTTTACCATGATTCTTTAGTCTTTCATAGTTAATTTTTTTTAACTTTTTTTTGAATTTTTCTTTTTCCCTATTTCAACCAACATCTTATCAATCCCTTTTTTAAAAAATCTTTTTATTTTTCATTTTTAGAGTCATATTCTCTCCCTTCATAGTAGTTACCCTTATTTTTGATATATATATATATATAAGTTCTTCTCTCTTTAAAATTTTGGGATACAGTTTCTTCTAACAGATAAAATATACCCCAAATCTCTAGTGTATGGCTTTGTTCTAGACTCCTGCCTGATCACATTATCTCCCTTTTTTTTTTAAATACTCTTCTTTCTTTTTTCAACCAACTCCCTATCAATTCCTTTTATAAAATCTTTTATACTTTTCATTTGTTCAGTAATCTTCCATCCCTTCATTATATCAACCCTGATTTTGTACATATATAAGTCTTTCTTTCTTTAAAATTTTAGGAGGCACTTTCTTCTAACAGACCAAAATATACCCAAAATCTAGTGTGTGGCATTGATCTACGCACTAGCCTGATCATATTTGATCATATTCTGTTTTTCTTTTCTTGTTCTGTTTTTGTTTGTTTTTATCTTTTTCTTTTTCTTTTCTTTTTTTCTCTTTCTTTTTTCTTTCTTTCCCTTTCTTTTCCCCTCGTTTCAGGTCTTTTCTGATTTGTTTAGAGTATATTTGCTGGGGACGTTGTAAACCTGTTAGCATTTTGTTCTCTCATTCATCTATTCTCCTCTGGACAAAATGACAAGACGAAAAGAATCACCTCAGCAAAAAGAACAAGAGGTAGTACCGTCTGCCAGGGACCTACTCAATACAGACATTAGTACGATGTCGGACCTAGAGTTCAGAATCATGATTTTAAAGATACTAGCTGGGTTTGAAAAAAGCATGGCAGTTATTAGAGAAACCCTTCCTGGAGAAAAAAAAGAACTAAAATCTAACCAAATCAAGATCAAAAAGGCTATAAATGAAGTACAATAAAAAATGGGCACTAACTACTAGGATAATTGAGGCAGAAGAGAGAATTAGCGATATAGAAGACCAAATGATGGAAAATAAAGAAGCTGAGAAAGGGAGAAATAAACAACTACTGGATCACGAGGGCAGAATTCGAGAGATAAGCGACACCATAAGACAAAACTACATTAGAATAATTGGGATCCCAGAAGAAGAAGAAAGAGAGAGAGGGGCAGAAGGTATATTAGAGCAAATTATACCAGAGAACTTCCCTAATGTGGGAAGGAAACAGGCATCAAAATCCAGGAGGCACAGAGAACCCCTCTCAAAATCATTGAAAATGGGTCAACACCCCAAAATCTAATAGTAAAACTTAAGAGTCTCAGAGACAAAGAGAAAATCTTGAAAACAGCTCGGGAGAAGAGAAATGTAACCTATAATGGTAGAGACATTAGATTGGCAACAGACCTATCCACAGAGACCTGGCAGGCCAGAAAGGACTGGCATGATATCTTCAGAGCACTAAACGAGAAAAATATGCTGCCAAGAATAATATATCCAGCTAGGCTGTCATTGAAAATAGAAGGAGATGTAAAAAGCTTCCAGACAAACAAAAACTAAAGGAATTTGCAAACACGAAACCAGCCCTCCAAGAAATATTGAAAGGGGTCCTCTAAGCAAAGAGAGCCTAAAAGCAGCATAGACCAGAAAGGAACACAGACAATATATAGTAACAGTCACCTTACAGGCAATACAATGGCACTAAATTCATATCTTTAAATAGTTACCCTGAATGTAAATGGGCTAATGCCCCAATCAAAAGACACAGGCTATTGGATTGGATTAAAAAACAAAACCCACCGATATGCGGTCTGCAAGACACTCATTTCAGACCCAAAGACACCCCCAGATTGAAAGGGAGGGGTGGAAAACCATTTACCATGCTAATGGACACCAAAAGAAAGCCGGGGTGGCAATCCTTATAACAGACAAATTAGATTTTAAAACAAAGACTGTAATAAGAGATGAGGAAGGACACTATATCCTACTTACAGGCTCTATCCAACAAGAAGACCTAAAGATTGTAAATATCTATGCCCCTAACATGGGGGCAGCCAATTATATAAGGCAATTAATAACAAAAGCAAAGAAACACATTGACAACAATACAATAATAGTGGGGGACTTTAACACCCCCCTCACTGAAATGGACAGATCATCTAAGGAAAAAATCGACAAGGAAATAAAGACTTTCAATGACACACTGGACCAAATGGACTTCACAGACATATTCAGAACATTCCATCCCAAAGCAACGGAATACACATTCTTCACTAGTGCCCATGGAACATTCTCCAGAATTGATCACATCCTAGGTCACAAATCAGGTCTCAACCGGTACCAAAAGATCGGGATCATTCCCTGCATATTTTCAGACCACAGTGCTTTGAAACTAGAACTCAATTACAAGAGGAAAGTCGGAAAAAACTCAAATACATGGAGGCTAAAGAACATCCTACTAAAGAATGAATGGGTCAACCAGGAAATTAAAGAAGAATTAAAAAATTCATGGAAACCAATGAAAATGAAAACACGCCTGTTCAAAATCTTTGGGATACAGCAAAGGCAGTCCTGAGAGGAAAGTATATAGCAATACAAGCCTTTCTCAAGAAACAAGAAAGGTCTCAAATACACAACCTAACCTTACCTAAAGGAACTGGGGAAAAAACAGCAAATAAAGCCAAAACCCAGCAGGAGAAGAGAAATAATAAAGATCAGAGCAGAAATCAATGAAATAGAAACCAAAAGAACAGTAGAACAGATCAACGAAACTAGGAGCTGGTTCTTGGAAAGAATTAACAAGATTGATAAACCCCTGGCCAGACTGATCAAAAAGAAAAGAGAAATGACCCAAATCAACAAAATCATGAATGAAAGAGGAGAGATCACAACCAACACCAAAGACATACAAACAATTATAAGAACATATTATGAGCAACTCTATGCCAGCAAATTAGAGAACCTGGAGGAAATGTATGCATTCCTAGAGATATAACAACTACCAAAATTGAACCAGGAAGGAACAGAAAACCTGAACAGACCTATAACCACTAAGGAAATTGAAGCAGTCATCAAAAATCTCCCAACAAACAAAAGCCCAGGGCCAGATGGCTTCCCAGGGGAATTCTACCAAACATTTAAAGAAGAATTAATACCTATTCTCCTGAAACTGTTCCAAAAAATAGAAATGGAAGGTAAACTTCCAAACTCATTTTATGAGGCCACCATTACCTTGATTCCAAAACCAGACAAAGACCCCATCAAAAAGGAGAATTACAGACCAATATCCTTGATGAACATGGATGCAAAAATTCTCACCAAAATACTAGCCAACAGGATCCAACAGTACAGTAAAAGGATTATTCACCACGACCAAGTGGGATTTATCCCTGGAATGCAAGGCTGGTTCAACATCCGCAAATCAATCAACGTGATACAATCCATTAACAAAAGAAAGAACAAGAATCATATGATCCTCTCAATAGATGCAGAAAAAGCATTTGGCAAAGTACAGCATCCTTTCTTGATCAAAACTCTTCAGAGCATAGGGATAGAGGGTACATACCTCAATATCATAAAAGCCATCTATGAAAAACCTACAGCAAATATCATTCTCGATGGGCAAAAGCTGAGAGCTTTTCCCCTAAGGTCAGGAACGCGGCAGGGATGTCCACTATCACCACTGCTCTTCAACATAGTATTAGAAGTCCTAGCCACAGCAATCAGACAACAAAAAGAAATCAAAGGCATCCAAATCGGCAAAGAGGAAGTCAAACTCTCCCTCTTTGCAGATGATATGATACTGTATGTGGAAAACCCAAAAGACTCCACCCCAAAACTGCTAGAACTCATACAGGAATTCAGTCAAGTGGCAGGATATAAAATCAATGCACAGAAATCAGTGGCATTCCTATACACCAACAACAAGACAGAAGAGAGACAAATCAAGGAGTCGATCCCATTTACAATTGCACCCAAATCCATAAGATACCTAGGAATAAATCTAACCAAAGAGGCAAAGGATCTGTACTCAGAAAACTATAAAATACTCAGGAAAGAAATTGAAGAGGACACAAAGAAATGGAAAAACGTTCCATGCTCATGGATTGGAAGAACAAACATTGTGAAGATGTCAATACTACCTAAAGCAATCTACACATTCAATGCAATCCCCATCAAAATACCATCCACTTTTTTCAAAGAAATGGAACAAGTAATCCTAAAATTTGTATGGAACCAGAAGAGACCCCGAATAGCCAGAGGAATCTTGAAAAAGAAAAGCAAAGCTGGCGGCATCATAATTCCGGACTTCAAGCTCTATTACAAAGCTGTCATCATCAACACAGTATGGTACTGGCACAAAAACAGACACATCGATCAATGGAACAGAATCGAGGGCCCAGAAATGGACCCTCAACTCTATGGTCAACTAATCTTTGACAAAGCAGGAAAGAATGTCCAAAGGAAAAGACAGTCTCTTCAACAAATGGTGTTGGGAAAATTGGACAGCCACTTGCAGAAGAATGAAACTGGACCATTTCCCTACACCACACACAAAAATAGACTCCAAATGGTTGAAAGACCTAAACGTGAGACAGGAGTCCATCAAAATCCTAAAGGAGGACACAGGCAGCAACCTCTTTGACCTCAGCCGCAGCAACTTCTTCCTAGAAACATCGCCAAAGGCAAGGGAAGCAAGGGCAAAAATGAACTATTGGGATTTCATCAAGATAAAAAGCTTTTGCACAGCAAAGGAAACAGTCCACAAAACCAAAAGACAACGGACAGAATGGGAGAAGATATTTGCAAATGACATATCAGATAAAGGGCTAGTAGCCAAAATCTACAAAGAACTTATCAAACTCAACACCCAAAGAACAAATAATCCAATCAAGAAATGGGCAGAAGGCATGAACAGACATTTTTCCAAAGAAGACATCCAAATGGCCAATAGACACATGAAAAAGTGCTCAACATCGCTCGGCATCAGGGAAATCCAAATCAAGACCTCAATGAGGTACCACCTCACACCAGTCAGAATGGCTAAAATTAACAAGTCAGGACATCACAGATGTTGGCGGGGATGTGGAGAAAGGGGAACCCTCCTACACTGTTGGTGGGAATGCAAGCTGGCGCAACCACTCTGGAAAACAGTATGGAGGTTCCTCAAACAGTTGAAAATAGAGCTACCATACGATCCAGCAATTGCACTACTGGGTATTTACCCCAAAGATACAAATGTAGGGACCCGAAGGGGTCGTGCACCCCAATGTTTATAGCAGCAATATCCACAATAGCCAAACTGTGGAAAGAGCCAGGATGTGCATCGACAGATGAATGGAAAAAGAAGATGTGGTATATATACACAATGCAATATTATGCAGCCATCAAAAGGAATGAGATCTTGCCATTTGCAACGACGTGGATGGAACTGGAGGGTGTTATGCTGAGTGAAGTAAGTCCATCAGAGAAACACATGTATCATATGACCTCACTGATATGAGGAATTCTTAATCTCAGGAAACAAACTGAGGGTTGCTGGAGTGGTGGTGTGTTGGGAGGGATGGGGTGGCTGGGTGATAGACATTGGGGAGGGTATGTGCTATGGCGAGTGCTGTGAATTGTGCAAGACTGTTGAATCACAGATCTGTACCTCTGAAACAAATAATGCAATATATGTGAAGAAAAAAAAGAAGAAGAAGAAGAAAATAGCAGGAGGGGAAGAATGAAGGGGGGGAAATCGGAGGGGGAGATGAACCATGAGAGTCGATGGACTCTGAAAAACAAACTGAGGGTTCTAGAGGGGAGGGGGTTGGGCAATGGGTTAGCCTGGTGATGGGTATTAAAGAGGGCACGTTCTGCATGGAGCACTGGGTGTTATGCACAAACAGTGAATCATGGAACACTACATCCAAAACTAATGATGTAATGTATGGTGGTTAACATAACAATAAAAAAATTAAAAAAAAAGAAGAGGTGGTATACGTATAGAATGGAATATTACTCAGCCATCAAAAAGGATGAAATCTTACCATTTACATCAACGTGGATAGAACTGGAGGGTATTATGGTGAGCAAAATAAGCCAATCAGAGAAAGACAATTATCATACAGTTTCACTCATATGTGGAATAAGAAATAGTGCAGAGGATCATAGAAGAAGGGAGGGAAAACTGAATGGGAAGAGGGGCACCTGGGTGGCTCAGTCATTAAGCGTCTGCCTTCGACTCAGGTCATGATCCCAGGGTCCCAGGATTGAGCTCTGCATTGGGCTTCCTGCTCTTCAGGAAGCCTGATTCTCCCTCTCCCACTCCCCCTCTTGTGTTCCCTCTCTTGCTGTCTCTCTCTCTGTGTCAAGTAAATAAATAAAATCTTTTAAAAAAATGGAATGGGAAGAAATCAGAGAGGGAGACAAACAATGAGAGACTCTTAAGTATAGGAAACAAACTTAGGATTGCTGGAGGGGAGGTGGGTGGGGGATGGTGTAACTGGGTGACTGGCATTAAGGAGAGCACGAGATGTGATGAGCCCTGGGTGTTATATGCAACTGATGAATTTCTGAACTCTACATCTGAAACTAATGATGTACTATATGTGGGCTAACTGAATTTAAATGACAACATTTCTGTACATGATAAACTACCACAAGCAAAGTCAAAAGACAAACAATAAACTGGGCAGAGGGAGATTAGCAACTCATGCCACAGACTACTTTCCTCAATATAGTTAGAGCTCCTACAAACCAATAGGAAGAAAAAATAGAAAAATGGGCAACAGATAAGAAAAAAGTGTTCACAGAAAAGGAAATACATCTCTCATTTAAAAATAAGTGTAAATTAGTTTAATTTTATTTTTTTATTTATTTACTTTTTTAAATTTTATTATGTTATGTTAGTCACCATACAATACATATTAGTTTTTGATGTGGTGATCCCCTATCCATTGTTTTCGCATAACACCCAGTGCTCCATGCAGTACGTGCCCTCCTTAATAGCCATCACCAGGCTAACCCATCCCCACTCCCCCTCCCCTTTAGAACCCTCAGTTTGTTTCTCAGAGTCCATCGTCTCTCATGGTTCATCTCTCCCTCCGATTTCCCCCCCTTCATTTTTCCCTTCCTTCTCCTAATGTCCTCCATGTTATTCCTTATGTTCCACAAATAAGTGAAACCATATGATAATTGACTTTCTCTGCTTGACTTATTTCACTTAGCATAATCTCCTCCAGTCCCATCCATGTTGATGTAAAAGTTGGGTATTCATCCTTTCATATATGTTTTTTTTAAGATTTTATTTATTTATTTGAGAGAGAGAGAGAGAATGAGAGATAGAAAGCACGAGAGGGAAGAGGGTCAGAGGGAGAAGCAGACCCCTGCTGAGCAGGAAGCCCGATGTGGGACTCGATCCTGGGACTCCAGGATCATGACCTGAGCCGAAGGCAGTCGCTTAACCAACTGAGCCACCCAGGCACCCTTTTCATATATGTTTTAAAGAGAAAAAGTGTAAGACAGAGACCTCCACCTGTGGTCCTTACCGGGATCCCTCAAGCTGGACCACGCTGTGCCCGAAGCTCCTTGCATTGTCTTGGAAGATCGTTGCTTTTTCAGTCTCCAAGTTGAACCCATCACTTAGTAAGACCAAGGCTAGAGGAAGGAGAAGGGGTGAGGGTCAGGCGGGGATAAGAAGCTAAGAAAGCAGCTTGCCCTCCTGCTCCATGCATCCACCTGCTGAAATTCACCCTAACCCAGCATGGAAATGTCTGCCTCCCAGGTCCGGCTCTGTTAGCCTGAGGCAGAGGTTAGCACACTTTTTCTATAAAGGGCCAGATAATATTTTAGGTTTTGTGGTCCAAAAAAACAAGAGAGAAAATGCATTTCCGCAAATTTTTCAATAAGGAAATAGAAAACATAATAATTGAGTACAAATAAGGGGCGCCTGGCTGGCTCAATCAGTAGAGCCTGTGACCCTTGATCTCAGGTTTGTGGGTTCGAGCCCTATGTTGTGTGTAGAGATTGCTTAATAAAATCTTTTTTAAAAATTTATTAATGAGACAAATGCAATTCTTTGGGGAAGATAACCTCACTTCACTGGGATTCAGAGTTAGTATTCCCTATCATGAATCGATTCTAAATGCTCATTTGAGGGGCACTTGAGTGGCCCAGTGGGATGAGCAACTGACTCTTGATCTCAGTTCAGGCCTTGATCGCAGGGTCCTGAGTTCAAGCCCCACATTGAGCTCAATGCTGGGTTTGGAGCCTACTTTTAAAAAATTAAAAATATATAAATATCTGAGACCTATGGCTTACAGGTCATACAAAAACAAGTGGGAAGAAGCCTCCCCAAATGCCTACAAGCCATAGTTTGCTGATTCCTGGCCTAAGGACCCCCAAAGTAGGGTGCATTCAGCCAGTCTCTGAACTCCACCCTCTGCTCCCACCCTGCTGATTTGCCCAACAATCAAGTTCCTAAAGACTCTCAATTAGGCAATTTCCTTCCTATGCAATTCTCAAGCACTTTTTCCTTCTTTTTTTTTAAGATTTCATTTATTTATTTATTTGACAGAGAAAGATAGCAAGAGCAGGAACACAAGCAGGGGGAGTGGAAGAGGAAGAAGCAGGTTTCCCGCTGAGCAGGGAGCCCGATGTGGGACTCGTTCCTAGGACCCTGGGATCATGACCCAAGCCAAAGGCAGACGCTTAACAACTGAGCCACCAGATGCCCCCTTTTTTCCCTTCTTTGGTTCGTTCTCCACAAAGCACAGGCATAAAAGGAAACAAAATTGAATCATTTTGGTCAGTCACTCAACAAACATTTACACCTGGATCCTTGGAAAATAGAACTCTGGGCAAAGTGAAGGTGATAAGATAGAACTGAAGGAGAAACACTCAGAATCCAATATGTGTTGTGCACCCTTGGGCATAGGATTCCATCTCTCTCGAGCCTCAGTTTCCTAATCTGTAAAGTGAAGGGGCCAGCCAAACCCCATTGCAAAGTCTATGAATTTAATTATTCATCCAAGCTTCTCTGGGCATTCCATCTTGGTCTGGTTCTACTCTCTGCTTCTTTTTGAATCCCTTGTCCTTCCCCAAATCCCCTTTATCTTCCCCCAGACTAGATAGTCTGTGCCCTCTTTCTCCACTCAGACTCAAAATATCCCTTCCTCACGCTGAGGGCCCCCCTCCAAGTCCCTGGTGTACCTGTTAACAGAAGGATTCTGTGAGTCATAGCTGGAGGGAGCAGGAACTGTGGGGCTGCATGCACCACTGAGCCACTTCAAGGAAGCCACCAAAGACAGGAAGGACAGAAAAGGAGAAGTTGGTGACAGAAATCTGTTAACGATTCAAAGGAAGAGGGCGGGGGCTCAGTGAGCATGCAAGCCCTGCTTGACCTTCTTCTTGGGGTTCAAGCAGCCTGTGCTCCCTTCTTCACCAGATTCTTGGCCCAAATCATCAAGATCATTGTCCCAAATGATGTGGGAAACAAAGGCAGAAGAAAAAAATTATTAAATTTCCTTACTACCTACAGCCCATTGACAAGTCCTTGAAACAGGCAGAGTGACCTTCCTCTAGGGACCCAGCTGCCTCGATGTTAATACTATGCTAAGGACAAAAGGCAATCCTAGCCTGACAACCCGCCCCCCCAGGATCCTGTAAGTCTACTTTAATGTATAAAAATTCCTTTGGAAACTTCCTTGATCTCTAAAACCCCCAAGATACATTTTGGCAATCATCCCCCAAGCATATGGCCCACCAATATCTGAAGGGTCTCATGACTAAGGTTTTATTAGACGGTAAGAAATGACCTTTCCCCAACAATAGCTAGCCATGTCAAGGTCCTGGAAACTTTGCTTCCAAAATTCCTTAGAGACTTACACTATCCCCAACCCCCTCCCAACTTGAAAGGATATAATGGGCCACTCCTCGTGACCCCGGTGCAGCTCTTTGTGCCCATGGGTCCTGTCCCCGGGCTTTAATAAAATCACCTGTTTGCACCAAAGACATCTCAAGAATTCCTTCTTGACCATTGACTTTGAACCCTAACGTCTTTCCTACATCATTTGATGACCACAAAGGGACTTTGAGTCTTTTTTCATCTGGACTCTAAGCCACAGTGCAAACTTGGTGAGTATTTTCTCTCCTCTTCCTTTACTCTCATTCCAGGGGCTCTTCAAGGAGTATGGTCTTATTGGAACACTTCCATGCCAATTGCTCAGGCTGCAATCCATCCAGCCTGTGGCTACTCTATGGGGAGGAGAAAGCCTGCCTTTTGGTTGGAAGTCAGCACGCTGGCCAGAATGGTAATAAGACCCAGAAACTTGATACCCTCTCTTTATTCCTGTCCTTATGCAAAGTTGTCTGTCTTGGGCATGAGACAGCCACCTAAGTCACCAGGACAGCTGCCAATCGTAAGATTCCCATGTGAGGTTTCCTCCTGATTGATCTGATGTGATCCCCTCCACATCCCCGGTCTAGCTGCTTCTGGCTGCAGAACCTCCACTGGGAGCTGGCTCAAACTAGTACCATACTGAATTAAAACCCAACCAGGATCGTTTCCTAGGGAAGTTGGCTATAAAGACCACATGTGTTGGAATGTTGCTTAGACCATGATGGATTTCAATCTTTACTGTTTTCTGTCAATGTCCTCTACTAATTATTTAGGCTACAAAATTTGGTAATTTCCCCTTGTAAAACTTTTTTTTAGCATTTTTCCATGCGTTGAAATGACAGGACAGTACGCAACCTTCAGGACATATGCTAGCATGGCACGGGTGTTTTGGTCCATTCACCAGGTACCCATTGGCAGCCTAAGATGCAATGGGGTAGGTGAGGGATGTTGGCATCCCTTCTATGGGTCTTTTATGGCAGGAATGCCTTCGCAGGAAGGCAGGATTGTGATCAATAGTGATGTTTTGCTTGAGGGAAGCCTCTGGTCTCTTTTGACACACGGGAACCTCTGACATATCCAGCGTGGGATCCCACCCAGGAGTTGGGGGGATGTGGTAATGGACATTCTTTACTTTTCTGGAAGCATGGCCTCAGTAGGCTTCTCTTTTGGTTCCCAAGGTCTTTCCCTTGGGGTGCCTTATAACCCACTGGAAACAATTCAGATTGTAAAAATTTAGGAAAGGACTGAGCTCCTGTAACACTGCATGATCTCAGTAGGATCTGTCAGTTAGATCTCTTCTGTAGGAAACAGGGCAGAATGTGGTTTAATTAAGACAGACATATCTTTCAAGTTATCAGCAGTAAATGGGAAACTTTTATTCTATCAAGGTTTCCTGAAGGCCAGATTAAGCTCGTGTTATCTCTGCTGGAATTTGTTAGCAAAAAGATGACTAAAATGATGATTATTTGTCTATCTCATCAAAGTTTTCATGGGTAATTATTAAGATAGCTTTCAAAGTCTTTGGTAACCTGAAACTTTAAAGTTTTGCTTGGATGATAAATGGGATTAAATTCTTTGGACAACTTAGGTCTTTTCCAAATAGGATAAAGTGCTCAGTCATTGATTACTAGACATAGGTTTGTGCCTTTGACTTCTTATTGCAAAGAAACTAAGGATATTTAAATCTGTTGGTAACTAGGTTTTGTGCTTAATTGATTCATAAATTTGCCATCTAAAGAATTCTGTTGTAACAGTTCACAATTGGTTACTACTTCGTCTTCACTGGAGACTAAGGTTTCTAGGAGTGCAAAATTCTGCTAAATGTAATTAAGACTGACGGAAATAAAGGAACCACTCTGTAGAAAACTAAAAGCTATGTAAGAAAGATATAAGGAGGGGGCGGAGCAAGATGGCGGAGGAGTAGGAGACCTGGATTTCGTCTGGTCTCAGGAATTCAGCTGAATAGGGATCAAACCATTCTGAACACCTACGAACTCAACAGGAGACTGAAGAAGAGAGTAGCAACAACTCTCTGAACAGAGAAGCGACCACTTTCTGGAAGGTAGGACGTGCGGAGAAGTGAATCCGAGGCGATATTCGGGAGGATAGACGGCATGGGAGGGGGCCTCCATCCACCGCTTCTGGCAAGTGATAGAGGGAGCACAAAATCGGAGCTTTTAGAAGCCAGCTCCGCTGACGGACGTCGCTCCAGTGGCTAAGCGAGAGGTGGAACCCTCGCGGGACAGTGTGTTCTCAGGACCCTTGGGGTCACAGAAAGACTGGGGGTGCCTGAGTGTGGCAGAGCTCCCACATATTGGAGCAGGGAAGCCAGCTGCAGAGATGAAGCCGAGGCGCGGGCTCTCAGCTCGGGGTTGCCATAAACTGTGATCCGCAACCCAGTCGGGCCACTGCTCCTCCAGCAGGGACCCAACAAGCCGCAGATCCAGGGAGACTCCCCTCCCTTCCCTGGGAGGAGCAGCCCAGGAGCGCACTGCAGGGATCTGCTGGGTTTGGAGACTCCACATGGGGTCGGGTACCAGAGATAGAAATGCTCGGACACAGGCAGGGTGAGCACGCAGTGCGGCCGGAGACCAGGGAGATGGGAATGACTGCTTTTCTCTGGGGGTGCACTGAGGAGCAGGGCCCCGAGTTCTCAGCTCCCCTGAGTGGAGATTGGGAGGCCACCATTTTCACCCTGGACCTCCAAAGCT